ACCATGTTCTGGCAGGACTGTCCTGTCTGCATTACAGTGACCCTATTTTGGCTATGTAACATTAGCTACAGAGTCACAGATTTGGCAAAGCATGCATTTGAAATTGTTTCATACTGGTATCTCCAACGGGTCCGCTCACCTATATTTCATTTTTGCAAAGGCCCGCACTAATACCCTGCAAAATACACCTTTCTAGTGTGACCTCTGCACACGTTGGTTTTATGAATAACTGATGTATCATTTGGGAGCACCCAAATTTGAAAATTTATCCTCAGCACTGGGCAAGACTGCATGTTATACAAGGGCTTGCACGGCTGCACCGTCCCAGGTGGAGAAGACAACTTGATTTGCGTCTCAGCGCTCCCCACCATTGCAGTGGGGTTGCATCAGCACATTTCCTTCTCCCGCTAAGGTCCTTTAAAGCCACACAAACATTTCAACTGAATTATTTTTGCTATTATTTCAGCTGAGTTCCCCTCAGAAAGCTCTGCGCAGGTACACGTGTCGATTCGCAGCTGTCCCGCAGCAGCTGCTCCCTCTCCTAGCCTGGTCCGCTTAGTCTGTGCAGGCACCATCACTTTTCTTGCATGTCCACAAAAGAAGGAAGGATCATAATTTCTCTAGCGGTGCTCCCAATTGTGCACAATGTCCTCGTTTCTGAGAAATGCCACTGACAAAAACAAGTGGGAAAAATGAACTTATATTTTGCCAGAGGTTAAAATGTTTTTTTTTAAAAGACATCTGGCAGCCCAAGAGCAGGAACTTGAGGAAAAGAAACAAGTCCTGTCTAATGGTCATGGACAAAGGTTAAAAAAAGATTTCTGTGGTCCTAGGAGAGTGTTGAATAAATCAAGGAAGAAAAATAGAGCAGACTGAGAAAAGAGTCTTAGGGACAGTCAAAAAACAAAACCCCCAAAAAAACCAACCCCAAAACAAAAAAAACACCTCAAGAGTGTGTTAAATCCATTCCATACAAAGGATGGTGCACTGAATTACAGAGAGTGTCTGAATAGATAAAGCAATACTCCAAGGAGCAAATCCTGAAACTATGGAGGTGAGAGACGGGGAAGAAACGCATGGAGATTATCAAATTAGTATCTGCTTATTAAGCTACAAAGAGTTTACCATACAAAGGAATGAGAGCAAGAAACATGAGGAATAAATCCAGATTAGGAGAGCAGCTATAGTCGCTGAGAAAGGCATTAAGGGAATGAAAGAAGGATCCAGGGGATGAAATCCAAGAGGAAGGGCAGAATAAACTGGCAGGAAAGTACAAGTGAGAGCAATACAGGAGACGTGCTGAATTGAACAGAATGATTCTTAAAAGGAAAAGGAGTAGAAAGGGCAGGGTAGAATACATGGATATTGAACAATTCTCCTCTAATATTGATAGAAATTATAGCTAAGTTCTTCCTCCTCTTTATTCTTTTAATGAATTTATTTTTCACTGCGCTGCCTTAGAAAATTACTCTGCTCATACAGCGAAAACTTAAGACTGAGCCGTGGAAAGGCTGTCTGCCTAGCATATGTTACTTAATCATCTTACCTTTTGACATTATGAACTTTATTATATCACCATCTAATCTCTTCTAGTGTCACTGTGCATTATAGCCTCTTCTCTCGATAAAAGAATCGTCTAATCCAACACTGTGTCAAAGCTCCTTATGAGTTTATGCTGGCTAGCCCCAAATGAGCTACAGGCGCTCCTTGCTCCTCTCTTAATTATCCACAGCACTGCACAAATTCATCTTCAGTCTACTGATGCCTCCAATTTTTCCATGGAGCACACAGACTCTGGTGTTTTCCGTACCCATGCAGTCTATTCCTTTTTGAATAGTAAAAATAATTTTGTTTTAATTTTTCAAGTTTTCCTGATGGAAGAGATCCTACCTTTTCAGCTCTGCTCATGGGACAAAAGCACATGCATGTTAGGAAGGTGAGTTCACAAGAGATTTCATATAGAACTATATTTCTGGAAAAAATTACCACTTGATGAATGATCTTTGTCACAAAGCAATATACCCAGTTATCACACAACATTTACTCAACTGCAATATAATGCGACTTAACGCCACAGCAGCTTCTCAGAAAATACCGAAAGCACAGACTCTTAACAGGGCAATACGTACTTGAAGCAGCCCGCGAGATGGATAGCATTTCCCAAACGGAACAACTGCTCCAAACTGACATATTCTCCTCAGCAACCCAATTTTATGATCTGTGACTGATTTGTTTTGCACACTGGATCCACATCTAAGACATTTATTTCTTGTAAGAAGTCACAGCTACTCGGTCTGCTCTGGACAAAATTCCGAGCAAGGTGAGCTACCTTTGTTTTGAGCAGTAGGCTGCACTACGTGACGTTCAAAGGTACCCTCCAATGAGAAGCATTCTATACTATGCCAGATGAAATAAATAAAAGTCACTGCGTTTCCTCTTCTATAACGAAAGAATTCATGAATGTTAATCTTAAGTTATAATATGGATGTTAAAAATGACCTCACAGACCATTTAATCACTGTTGAATTTGCAAGTTATACAGCAATGTCAAGCCACCTATTTTAATTACCATCATTGCTAGAGCTGGTTTCTGAATGAAGTGCATTTTAACTTTTTTGAATTGCAAGACGAGGCTAATCGCCACCCTTTTTTCCACTATGCTTATATTCTGCAGAGTACTGAAGGAATATAAGATTTTGGAAATGAAACAGACTCTAGACGTGCTTAATTTGCACATAATATTTTCACGTTGTTACGCTAGATGAATTTAGCATTACAGCAGAGGTAGGAGAGCTCAAGCACACATGCAGCAAGTCACTTTTGACCAGCTCACCATTTTCCAAAAGAAAGTAATTCCCAAGTTGAGTTTTTAATCTGCTGTCCATCATTCTGTATTCTTGAAGCTTTAACATATCATAAGAAACAGTGCAGTAGGTAATCACTGACTTGTAGGTTCTTCTGTTCCCAGTCATTTATAAAACAGTGCGTATAAGTAGCGAAAGATATTTAGAAACACACAGATTATGGTACTGATCCTCCTCTCACTCTGGCTCACCAACCTCTCTCTCTTCTACCTAGATAATCTTTTGATTTCAAATGTGCTTAAATCTGTTTCTATATATTCATTTGGTGACTTTACTGAAAGGCCATGAACAAAAACAGAGTGAAAAACACGTTTTTTCAATAATAAACCTGATGCTGGATTTCAACACATTTCAAACATTTGCATTCAATGCCCCTGTTCTACACGAAGAAATCAGCCAACACCAAGGTCACCTAAACACAACAGTAATCCTCGTGTTACAGCACCCCTACAATACCAGCTGACCGGTCAGCAAGCGCAAATTACTGCAATTCCTTCCATCTTTCCTCCAAACCTCTTCCCGCTTCAGAAAACACTTCAATTGAATTGCATGTGTATTGTGACTGGAGAGAAAGGAAGGAAAGCATCTGCATTGCTCTGACAAATGACTTCCTATAAAATATATATATACGTGTGTCTGTCTGGTACTATAGTAGTAAGTCATTCTAAGGACATAGCACCTGGAATGAGGCCAGTTTAATAATGTTCTTCAAAATCTTTTTTTCTAAAAGGAAGTATTAGAGATAAACTGAATGGAAGAAATTACTAGGTCTAGCTAGTATTTACTTATGAATTCTCGTACGAGACTGTTGAACGACTGACCGTTAACAGGAAACTTACTATTTAAGCTATTAACAATGTTAAAGAAATGGTGTCAGACATAACACCCAACAAAGAGAGCCTCCAAGAGCTAAACCCTCCTTATCAAAGACCAGTAAAAGACCACCTTCCTAGTCAGCAAAACAATAATTAAGTGTAGACTACAAATAAACAGAAATATTTACAAATAAGATACACGGAAAAGTCGATACTGCTTCGTAAAAAGAAAGAGGGCATAAGCAAATGTTTAGGTCTTAACATTAAGGGAAGATACTTGGTGAAACACCCAACAATCTGTACTGGGATCTGTGCCGCTCAACATATTCATAATTGATCAGGAGAAGAGTGTATAATCATATGACAGAGCTTGAAAAGAAAGGAATATTTTTGCTTTGTTTATTAAAATTGGAGCATTATTTAAATTTTGTGCATTGGAATTTATTAGAATTAGGACTGTCACCTCACTGAAGAGGCACAGGAAGAAACGCGACTTTACAATACAATCTCAGGTGAAAATTAATGCAAATAAACACAAACTAATTGCTTTGTGAAGAACTAACCTCTAACTTTTTATATAAAGGGACAGACTAACACGTTTTGCAAAAAAGATTCAAGAGTCATCAACTCACTACTTGAGTGGCTGTCAAAACGGTGCACAATATGTTAGGAATGATTAGAAAAGGAACAGAGAACAAAATACAAAGCATCATTAGGCTGCTAACCGTGGTGTACCCACATCTCAAATACTGCCTACAGCTTAGGTCCTCCCCACTCAAAAGGATTACAACGTACAAGAGCATAGTACCCAATGCAGAACAATGAATTTGATCAGGGGAAAGAAAACAGCTTTCATAGGAAGAAAACTACATGCAGTAATTTTGGAAAATAAGTGGCTGAGAGGAAATATGATAGAGGTCTATAAAATGATGAGTAGTATGGAGATAGTGAATAGGCAATGATTTTTCATTATTTGCCATTATTCAAGTCATAAGTGGTATAAAATGGAATTATGAACAAGCAGTTCAAAACAACCAAAAAGAAGGACTTCTTCTTCACAACTCATAATTAAATCATACAGCTCATTACCCTAGCATGATGCTTTTGCCAAGAGTATAAATTTGTTCAAAAAAAATTAGATAAATTCCTCGAGGGTATGTCCACCCTCAAAGCTCAAGAAGTGACTATGCTATGCATTACTGGAGCTGAGATCATATAATGAGAAAAGAGCAAACGTAGTTATATCTGTAGATATATACACCTGCATATACCTGCCCTCTCCTGTTGTCCACACTGGAGATAGGATGCTGTCTTCTGCTAGGGTTAACCCATGGCCACAGATCTTACGTTCTCTCAAGTTAGCTATCATTGCATGGCAGGTCCTCATGTCTCTTACCTTATAAAAAAGGACATGAAAATTAGGCAAGCCTTACAGTGATATCATTTCTAGGACTCTCAAACTCTGACTGTTCTAGAGATGCAGGAAATATGCTTTTCCTCAAGAGTTATGCTACCTTTCCAAAAAAAACCGCAGTGCCCACCACCCTGCTGGGATATAGGAGTTTCTTCAACAAATTAAGATGACCTCAAGTTTGCAAGTTATTTGAGATGAGGTAACCTCACATTTTTTAAAGGGAAATTCTCTTAAATATAATAGAATGTTTGTTTCAGGTGGAATGAAACATTTCACACAACCTCAAAAGGGGCTGCAAAGGCAAGCAAAATCACTGAGTTCTCATTTTATGCCAGTGTACATACATACTCATCAATTTTTTAGTTTGCCTAGCAAAACTGAAAAACTCTTCATTTGTACAGAGTACTGGATACCTGAGGAATAAAAGTGCTCAAGCACTTGAAAATACTATGGCTCCATCCTTCATTAAACCATGGAGGACACTCTCTAAACTTTAGATTCCCTAAACTCACAGCGGGACTGCTCCTGCTCTGATCAAGACAAAAGAAACGGACTCTTTAGGCACCGATATGAGAAAACCCTACTAACAGAGTAAGACCGTAACATAAAGTGGCTACGGTTAGAGACCGCAGGCCTGCGATGCAGACCTATCAATCTCAAGTCAAATCCAGAGCAGGATGGAACTGATGGATCCATATCCAATAATATTTCACTCTGTTTTAGCTCCTGCTGCGCTGATAATCTCCTCCCATAACATCAGCTGCAGGAACGCCACGCATCTAATGAGGCAATACTGAATTACAAGTGTATCAAACACAGGGGAAGGCTGACTAGGCTGACAACTCCTGCCATCCGAATGGCTAAAAAAGGGAAAAGAAACATAGCAAAAAAAGGAAATAAAAAATGGACCTGCATTTCCTTTAATGTAGTCTCTGGGTACCTGTAGCGCTTTTCTTAAGTGGCTTTTATTCTGACGATTCATTTATTGATAGCAAACCTTGGGAGCTCTAGAAATGCAGATTAATTCTGGGAATTATCTGCCTCAGATTTCTTGTTTTATTTTCCCTTCCTTTCCCCCACATTTCTAGGCAACAACTTTGGTGTTTCTGCCAATAACGAGAAGATTAAAGTAAACTAGAGTGCCTATTTTCCAAACGCCCTTTGACTCAAAATGATAGCAACTACTCCCAGAAAAAGGAAACTACCAAACTGATCAATTACTGCACTCGTTCATTAACTGACTGATTGTTCCAATAAAGAAAAGATTTATACTGTACTCGTGTAGTGATATTCCCTGCAGTCACCCTGCTGTCGAGGGTAGTCACCAAGGTTAGGAAAATATGCATCAAATATAGTTAACAACCACCTAGGAATAAGACTGAGATTAACAAAAAGCCCAGTGAAATCACTGATTCCCAATAGACTCTTTAATTCTTTCGCATCTAAGACTCCCAAAAAAACACCCTTTAACAGCTTTGTTGCTTCTTCTGTTTCCTCAGCACTAGCTATATATTAAATTCACACGTTAACTGCTCTAATGGGGTATTAAGGAGGAAAAGTGCATAGAAAGTCTAATTAGGCATTTAAAAAATAATTGTATACATGCTTTTATGATCCAACAAGGCAGTATAAGACAAATATTTAAAACTTATCTTAAAACTTAGCTATCCTGATAAGCGTAATTTGGAAATCTTTAATGAATTCACCTCAATTAGCCTTTAATTAAATAGCTCATTAAAAACTGATTTGAATATTGCTCATGAAGAAATCCTTGTTCAGCTGTTATGATGGAAAGGGAAGTCAACGAAGGTAAAATTAAACAAATTTTGGAACAGTCTGAAAGTCATATTGTTGGCAGGAGGAAAAAAAACATTTTGTTGCTGGAGAAAAAGTCATATTGTTGCAGAAGAAAAAATATCGTCAAGGCAAGATAAACCAAACACCTGACAAATATAAGAATATAAGTGCTAAAAATAATTTCTTGTTTGTTTTGCTTTAATTCTGTTAAGAAGGAAAACAAAACTACTAATGAACTAAACCATCCTGAGTATGTGTCAGCTGTCTTCCAACCTGCTTACCACCATTCCTGTTCTAGACTATGCTTTCAGAACACCATTAATTCTAATGTCTTTCGCATAGGAACATTAACTCACAGCTACCCATACGTACAGATACAGACCCATGCAGACATTCTTCAAAAGAGCAAGCACATTCAGGGTGGATGAGAAACACTGCATAAAACTAACTGTGACTTAAGGTGCAGAAGTAGCGCGCTTCAGTTTAGTGGCGAGGTACAGCATCTTTCATTGAACTAATCAGTGAAAAAAAAATCCCCTAATTGCCTAGATATTACTTCAGTTGATCTAACAAAAGATCTTGCTTTTCCCTATAAATTTTACTCTAACTACAGCTCCAGGCTTTACGCTTTTTCAGGTCAAGGTAACATGAAAATGTTTGTTAGCTTCAGGGGGACAGAATCAAGACCCAGAAAGAGGAACACACAAGAGTAGAGCCAGGCTGGAAGGAGTAAAGGTAAAAAATAAATAAAATACCTTTACATGATTAATAACTGCATGGCATGGAAGCTAATTTTTCTCATTATGAAGGAAAATAAGGCAGGAACTAGACTCTGTCATGTTCGTGTGCCCTTGTGTTAAGAAAGATTTTTTTTTTTTTTGATTACCTGGAAGAGGTCACTGAACAACAGGACTTGAAATTGTCTAAATCTAAGCCACAGTCTGTCATTCATGTATGTTGCAAAGTGTACAGAACCAACAAAATCTTTCTCCATCCACGGAAAAATAGCTTAGGAGCAGTTTTTGCCTGTAAGCTCCTGCATAGTGGCTTTAGGCAGAGTCTTTACTTCCCACTGTGCTGTTACACTCCTACAGAAAGGTCAAGAAGAAACTAGCCTCAAAACAAGAGTTGACAGCAAGTCAAATGCTTCAAGTGCTGCATGAAAAAATAGCATTATTAGCATACAAATCCAATATACTGCAAGAGTAAACACTAATAACATTGTTGCAAATATTAATAATTTAAATCTAATAGAACAAGCATCTCAAGAATGCATGCGTATGTTATGAATGCTGCTAATTTAGCTGAGTCCCAAAATATATTTTTTAAATATTTTGTTTTGGTCTATCAATGATTAACATATACAGATAGACACTTAATGACTTACTCCTATGAAAATAAATGATGACATTCCAGGCCCTAAAGATGATCAATAACTTTTAACCAGGACTTGCACTTTCTTCTCTATATAGCAGAATTCACAAGGACTCTCACAAGCCCTCGGAGACTATGGAAACAAATGTATTATAGGAATTATCTAAGGCTGTTAAGTACAAACATATCACCTCTGACACAGAAAATCCATGGATCCTCACAGGCTCGTGGAAGGCACCAGGGAAGCGCCAATGCACACTGGTGCTACTCTTATGCTCCTCTCTACATCTCTGCTGAGTTCATACGAAGAGACATCTGTATGTACGGCCACTGCCGCTGCACTTTGCCAGGAGTGGGCTAATAAGCTTTCAGGAAGCCCCTTCCTTCCCTTCTCCCCAAGCCCAAGACTAGCCCAGACAAGGGACTACCCTGCTTGCAGAGTGCGCCTGCCCTGCCCTTTCCCTGCTCGCTTCTCGCTGGCTGCGAGCGCGCTGACCGCCAGCACCCGCTCGCAGCTCGTCGGTCTGCGCTCTGCAACCATCTCGCAGCCGCCATGTTTTTTTCCTGAGCGGTTTGCTAATTTACAATACTTCCTATATATTTTGTATTTTCTTCTTTTAAAACCTTCAGGAAGACGTGTCAGGAATTTACACTGGAAATAGGAGAGTAAGCAGATTGTTAACGTTAGAAAATTACCTGTCACCTGGATAGGCTTGACACAGTAAGATGCAAGGCTCAGACAGCAATTCACAGTGCTTGATGATGAGACTGAGCTCAATCATTCAAACACAGCCACAAATTTCTTTACCTTCTGATCATTTCACAAATCAAGTTAACATAAATTACTGAAGTTTCATCAACAATGAAACACTTTATGAAAAGAAATACAAAGCTGTCATGCTGACTCTACTGAATATCAGTTTCCCCAGTAATAAAAACTTTAGATTATAACGTGCCCTTCACCGAGCGTGCTTTGGACGGAGGAGGCAGGCGTACGTCTGAAGAACGTTCCCATTTTGAACTACTTTTGGCTGCAGTGAAGATCTTCAAAACTGTGTACATGTTTGTTTAGTGATTTTAATCCATATTTACTTCTACCTGCAATTTTGTGGATCTGAAATCAGCTGCCCTGCCAGCAAATTTATGCTGAGGAGAGTTTTTTGTTCGTTTGTTTGTCTGTTTTTAACTCCTCCCCCTCCCCCCACAAACAACAAAAGCATTAATCAGATTGGGAGAAATATCACAATCTGAACATGACTTGAAGAAGAAAAACGGAGAGGCAAGGAAATATTTTTGTCTATTATATGTCATAGGACAACATACAGCAGCCTTATTTTGCAGCCTTAAGAGCGAATGAGCCAGATGACAATCACAATATCTGATAAAGCAGACACGGGCACAGATCAATAAACAGACACTAGGAGGGAATCTATACTAACCTTAGGAACTGAGACAACACCTCCATCTACAGCTCTCCAAACACATATTCAAGGGGAAAAATAGGCAGAAAACACAGCAAGTTTCACTACTGTTAAATCTACCAGATTTTTCCATTTCATAAATTTGTAAAATAATTACTAAGGTTTAAAACATTTGGAACCTGTACTTTGTCTAATGTATCATGTTCTTGCTACACAGTGCACTCAAGAAAACACATCTGTTGCTCTACTTACATAGCGTAACTATTTTGATTCCACATCACCCCAGAAAAAACATCTTTTTCTGCCATTCAAAGTTCAGTCAATGAGGATTTTGGATATTTTAGGCTTGTTTTAAAATCCTGAACAGAAGCAGCGGCTTCTGCAAGGGAA